TGTGTCTCCCTCTCTCTGTGACCCTCCCCTGCTCACGCTGTCTCTTTCCTCTCTGAGAAATAAAACAGTAAAAAAAAAAAAAAAAAAAAAAAAAGATGGGATTGCCAGAAAAAAGGGTACATACCTTCCTACTTGAACTGATAATCACAATTCTTCTTCAGAATAGCTGTACCAATATACACCTACCTGTAGCACCTAAGAGTGTATATTTCCTTAGAGCCCTCTCTCCAGAATTTGGTTTTATCTCATTTTCTAACATTTACCAAAATGATGGGTATAAAATAGTGTTTTATTGTTTCAATTAGTATTTTTCCAATTACTGATGAAATTGAGCATCTCTGTATGTTAGCCATTCCACTCTTATAAACACTGTTAAGAGTTTCTTATATGATGTTTAAGATACAGGTTAAGCATTTACCAGCATATTTCCATATCTGTTTTTAAAAAATGAATGTACTTATCCATGTGCATTTGCCCTTTATGTGCTTCTAAATCTGGGTTCCCTAAGATTTATGTTTTTATTATCATTTGGTATTTTATATTTTAAAGATTCTTTTTAACCCTGAGACAATGAAGTAGTATGTTTTTTTGTTTCTAGTCATACGAGATTTTTTTTTAATAAAGTTAACATTTTGTTATTGATTTTATTAATATAATGAATTAGAGAACATAACCTGGACATATTCATTCTTTGGAATTTATGGAGAGACCATTTGTGATGAGATACCTAGTAGATTTTTGTGACTATCTTTTTTTTTTTTTTTTAAATATCTCTGTATCCAGATGAGGCTTGAACTCATGACCTCAAGATCAAGAGTCACATACTCTACCAACTAAGCCAGGCACCCCTTTGTGACTATCTTGTAGTATATACTTGAAACTAATGTGTTCTCTTTTGTATTGTTCCCTGTTAACGTTCATTACTTTTATCTGCTTGAACTAGGAGTTACTTTTCGGTATGTCAAAAGAGCCAACTACACTTATCATCTGATTCTTACTATAGTCCTCTCAATTGTTGCTTGTGTTCTGAGACCGCGTGTGAGATATGTGATGAGGGAGTGTGTGGCAAGCTAGCAGCACCCCCACCCTCACTCCCACCTAGGTGGGGTATGTGTGATATTCCTCAGACACTCCTGGCTACCCATGGTGATGTGGAAAACTAAGGCAAGTGAAAAATTAAATTCCCTATTGCCTGCAGCCTATTGACAAGTCCTTGAAACCGGCAGTGACCTCCCTCTAGGAGCCCAGCTGCCTCAAGGATGACATTTTGCTAGGGGCAAAAGAGAATCTTATCTAAACATTATCCCAACCTCTAGGATCCTATAAATCTACTTCCTTTATCTCAAGTGCCCCAAGATATATGCTGGCAATCATACTCCAAGCTTAGTGCCCTCCTCCCTACCCCCCCCCCCCCCCCGGTCATCTAAAGAGTCTCATGACTAAGGTTTTACTAAATAGTAATAAATGGCATTTCCCTAGCAACAGCTAGCCCCTCAAAGTCCTGGAAACCTTGCTTCCAAAATGCCTTAGAGACTTACTCTATACCTGACCCCCTACTAACCTGAGGGTATGTAATCATATAATCAATTACCCATCACAACCCCAGTGCAGCTTTTCTGCCCACAGGTCCTGTCCCTGTGCTTCAATAAAATTACCTTTTTGTACCAAAGACTTCTTCAAGAATTCTTTCTTGGCTGTTGGCTCCAGACCACCCCACCATCACCCTAAAACTTCATCAATATTTGTATTTCATTGTTAGTATATATGATTGATCTTCATTATTTGCAGATTCCATATTTATTTGCACATATGCCTCCCTGCTAAAATTTATTTGTAATCATAAAATCAATACAGATAGTGATTTTAAGGGTTCTAGGCCCTTTCAGCAGGAGGTAGGAAATACATATAAGCATAGTAACCTGCACATATGCCTACATTTTTATCTTTTTCTGTGTCTATCTGTATATATCTTAAAAAATGTGAGTTTTGATTTTAGTCCAACATCACAAAGTTCAGCCTAAACTTCCCCCTTTCCTACTCTCATGATCTATAATATATTCACTTGTCTGTTCAATTCTAGTATACCCACAAAGTAGGTATATAACAGCCAACTCATGCTGTGAAAACAGATTTACTAACTAGAGATATAGTATTTGTGGATATTTCTTTGTGTCTTTAGCCTTGTAGTATGCAGTCAAAATGCTGTTTTCCAAAGTTACTTGCATTCTTTTTTCTCCCATACCTTTCTTTGTTGCTTTGTTTTCCATTTATAATACAATTAGGTTTATTACTGTTTGTATTGTATTTTGGGTTTCTTTCACATGCTGGTTGATTACCTGTTTTGGGGGGCACATTGAAAACATTACTGTTGTTCTAGAAATCAAAGCTTTCCAAAAAGATATGCTTTGAGAAGTGTAGCTCCCTCCTCATCCCTCTTAAAGTATTCCCAGTGCCTCTTTCTACCCCTTTCTTCTGTGCCCAATGTAGGTAACTGATCTCTTTAGTTTCTGATTTATCCTCCCTGTATTTCTTCTGAACAAATGAGCAAATATGTGTGGATCTCTTTTATCCCTTGTTTATTACAGAAACAGGAGCATACTTTTTTGTACTTTGCTTTTTTTCACTTCATAGTATATTTTGGAAATTGTTCCAAATCAGTTATAGAACTCTCTCTCTCTTTCTTTTCTTTTCTTTCTTTCTCTTCTTTCTCTCTTTCTTTCTTTCTTTCTTTCTCTTTCTTTCTTTCTTTCTTTCTTTCTTTCTTTCTTTCTTTCTTTCTTTCTTTCTTTCTTTCTTTCTTTCTTTCTTTCTTTCCTCCCTCCCTCCCTCCTTCCTTCTTTTCTTTTCTTTTCTTTCTTTCTTTCTTTCTTTCTTTCTTTCTTTCTTTCTTTCTTTCTTTCTTTCTTTCTTTCTTTTTCTTTCTTTCTTTCTTTCTCTCTCTCTCTCTCTCTCTCTCTCTCTCTTTCTCCCCCCCCCTTTCTTATAGCTTCATGGTACTTTTATTGTCTTTGCTCAGCCTTCTATCTTATATATGGTCACTTAAGTTGTTTCCAAAATTTTGCTATTATAAGCAATACTGCAACTTTGTGCATATGTATTTTCTTATTGTTGGAAGTGTATCTTCTAGAGATGGTCAAAAGTGAAATGAATATGTAGTTTTATCACTTTTTGCCATATTTTTTTACTGTGCAAATTATTTTTATTTGTATATATTCAAATATATCTTTTTTTGCCTCTGGTTTTTCATCATTAGTGATAAAGTTTTCCCCTACATTAAAGGATAAAGAACTCATCACTTTTTCTTCTAGAACTTGTATGACTTCATTTTGATACATTTATCTCCCTCATTCATTTGTCATTCATTATGAATTATGTGAGAGATATAGATCTAATTTTTTTGAAATGGCACCAGTTGTCCCAGAATATTTATTGAGAAGTCCATCATTATCTCCGGTGATTTAGGATGTTACTTTTATTATATACCAATATTGTATGTACTTGGATTAATTTCTGGACTGTTTTATTCCACTGGTTTATTTATTCCTGTATGTGCCAGTAATACTGTTTCTTTCTTTTTTTAAGATTAAAAAAATGCTTATTTATTTTTGGGGGTGCCTGGGTGGCTCAGTCGATTGAGTGTCCAACTCTTGGTTTCATCTCTGGTCATGATCCGGGGTCATTGGATCCGGCCCTGAATTGGGCTTTGTGCTGAGCATGGAGACTGCTTGGGATTCTCCCTCTCTCCTCCTGCTCCTCTCCCCCACTCATGTGTTCTCTCTCTCTGTCTCTCTCTCTCTCTCTGCCTCTCGCAAATAAATAAAATGACAAAATTTTTTAAATGTTTATTTATTTTTGAGAGACAGACAGAGCAGGAGTAGGGGAGGGGCAGAGAGAAAGGGGGACAGAAGATCTGAAGTCTGCTCCGTACTGACATCAGAGAGCCGGATGTGGGGCCCAAACTCAGGAACTGAACTGCGAGATCGTGACCTGAGCCAGAGTTGGATGATCAACCAACTGAGCCACCCAAGTATAGAAGCTTTACAGTATCTTTTAATATCAAGTAGGGCTAGCCTCCCTCCTCCCATTATAGTTCTCTTTTTCAGTGGGTATTTTCTTTTCCTGGCTGTTCTTGCATGTTTATTTTTCCACAGAAATTTTAGTATCAACTTGTCTAACTCTGTAAAATAACTTGTTGGTATTGGAATTGCAATGGTTTTATAAATTAGGAAGAACTGATGCTGAATCATCCTGTCCAAGAACAAGGAATGTTTTCCATTTGTTGTTGCCTACTTTTGTGTCTTTCAGGAGGTTTTTAAATTTTTCTTGGTATTAATTTTGCACATTTCTTACTAAATTTATTCCTGTGTGTTTAGTCTTTGCTGCTATTGTAAATGAAGTTTTCTCTACTATGTGTCCTACTTATTGCTTGTGTATATTAATCTTATATCCTGCCATATTACTGAATTCTTTTATTATTTGAGTTAGTTTAATCATTGAGTTTTCTGGAGTTTTCAGACATACTGTCATATCATCTTCAAATAGAGTTATTTTTTTCTTTACCCATTGTTAACTTTTAATGAATTTCTCTTGTCTAACTCAATTAGCTAATATCTCTAGTACAGTGTTGAATAGTAGCAGAGTTAGTAGATATCCTTGCCCAGTTCTTTATTTAGTGGAAATTTGTCTGGTGTTTCTTCATTAAATATCTATATCTATCTATATATATATGGGGGTGAATTTGTCACAGAGCTCTAGATGCTTGGATAAACCACAGGAATTAATAGAAATTAAGCAGAGGAATCTATGAAGTCTACTCTCCATGTTCTGTCAGAGTCTAGGGCAACAGCATGTCACTTTCAAAAAGCTGGAAGGTTTCATGTTTAGTTTGGGAATAGCAATTAGATATGCTGTTACAACAAGGCATTTGAATTCATGAAATTGTCTTCGTGGGTTGTCATGGTCACAAATAAAAATGTATCCTTATGTTTTTCTTTTTATAGTGTGTGCTGTTTTTATGGAGTTTAAAGATTAATCATCCCAAAACAGTGTTTCTGCTTCGAGGAAATCATGAATGCAGGCATCTTACAGAATATTTCACCTTCAAACAGGAATGTAAGTATGATCATTTTTCCAGAATCTTTTTTTTTTTTTTTTGGTTTATTTTTTAAGTAAACTCTACCTCATCAGGCTTGAACTCCCAACTCTGTAATCAGGAGTCCCATGTTCTACTGACTGAGCCTACTGACTGAGCCAGCTAGGTGCCCCCATAACATTTTTAGTTACCTTTTTGTCAGTCCCAAAATGAATCAAACATAAACCAAAAAAAAGAAACTAATGGAACTCAAATGGTTCCTGTTATTTATTTTCTGGTAAGAACCAAGATTCTACCTTTTAAGACATTTATTTTGAAAATAACCTTTGTGGTTTCTCCCTATTATATAAAGTAATACATTTGGGATATTTGGAAAACATAGAGAAGTCCAGCGAAGGTAAAAGTTGTCCGCAGTCACACCACTTAAAAATAATTAACTATTGGGGCGCCTGGGTGGCTTAGTCGGTTAAGCGTCCGACTTTCGCTTAGGTCATGATCTCGCGGTTCGTGGGTTCGAGCCCCGCGTCGGGCTCTGTGCTGACTGCCAGCTCAGAGCCTGGAGCCTATTTCAGAGTCTGTGTCTCCCTCTCTCTCTGACTCCCCTGCTCACGCTGTCTCTCTCTCTCTCTCCTAGAAATAAATAAAAAACCTTTAAAAAAAAAAAATAATTAACTATTATCTCACTATTTGAGATATAGTCTTCTTTTCTGTATATATTAAAACCTATCATGAAATAGTTCAAATACATATATATCTATGCATATTTTCAAAAAATTGGACTATTATATGTACTGTTTAATAAATTGCCCTTTACTTTGTATGTAATAAAAAATATATATAAAATAAATATCATAAGTATCATTAAATATCTTTGAACATGATTTTAAAATGTTATTTTAATATTTTAAAAGTATTCCATCTTTTAATGCACTATTATGTATGTAGCCAATTTAGTAACAACTGTATGGCATTTCTGTTGTTTCCAACTAGAAATAATACTATACTGGTAAAAAAAAAAAAAAGCTTATTATTAAAGGTAGAATTTATTTGAAAGTCAAAACGTTGCTAGCCATTTGGGAGAAAAACACAAACAAAAATCCTGGCAGATTTCTTTGACCAGAATCTAGGTACTCACAGTTGACTCTTAACATTCAGTGTGATGGTAACTAAATTGGACTTGTTTGAGAGAACTTGCCCCAGGACATTTGTGCTTATCCTTTCTTGTCTTCCCAGATAGCTGTCTGCTTATAAGACCTACATCCTTACTTCATTCTTGTCATCTCCTTAGAGACCTTCTTCCCTGGTTGCTTTTTCTAAATTAAACTATCTCATCATTTTACTCTCATACCTTGTCTTTTTTCTAATGGTATCCATCAATGCCTGAATTTTTAATATTTTTTATATAAAATTTATATTTAAGGGGTGTCTCAGTGACTCATTCAGTTAAGTGTCTGACTTCAGCTCAGGTCATGATCTTGTGGTTCACGAATTTGAGCCCTGCATCAAGCTAGGTGCTGAGCTAGGTGCTGACAGCTCAGAGCCTGGAGGCTGCTTTGGATTCTGCATCTCTCTCTCTCTCTCTCTCTCTCTCTGCCCCTCCTTTGCTCGCACTCTGTCTCTCTCTCTCTCTCAAAAATAAATAATCATTTGAAAACTTCTTATTTAACATCCTTTAAAAAATCAAATTTATACTTAAAAAATATATTTATTTGTTTATCATTTTTCTCTCCTGTGGTAATTTAAATTCTATGATTGCAGGGACATGTTATTTTTCCAGAATAGTATCTAATAACTCATAGGAGAGGTTTAAAAATATTGGTTGAATTAATTTGTTAAATGAATGATCATCTAGGATTTGTATCTTAGCACAAATTCTCAGAAGAGAATTACTAAGTCAGAGAGCATGAACATTTTAAAGGCTTTTGATACATATTCTAAATAGCCCTCCAAAAAGATTATATATCAGTTGATACTTTAATGAAATTTTATATTTTTATATGAAGTGAAAGGAAAATACTGAAATAAAAAGCCACAAAATTTTACCTTTTCTGATTTCTAAAATTTGAGTATATTCTGTATAAAATAAGGAAGCAGTACTAAATTCTAGAGTATTGTCTGCCTCTAAAATCTACTTCTTTCCTCAAGTAATACTGAATATATACAAATGTTTTAATGTCATGTAACTGATGGTTTGATCGAATTTCACTTTGTGTCCTATTCCAGTGATTATCTTGGAGGAATGTATTATTAAATATTTAAAGTTTTATTTCCCTCAAAATATTCAAAGTTGAAAAAAACTGAGCCTGGGTGGCTCAGTCGGTTAAGTGACCGACTCTTGATTTTAGCCCAGGTCATGATCTCATGGTTCATGAGTTCACGCTCTTCATCAGACTCCTTGCTGTCACAGTGTGAAGTCTGTTTGGGATTCTCTCTGTCTCCCTCTCTCTGTACCCCTCCCTTGCACACACTGTCTCTCTAAGATAAATAAATAGACTTTTAAAAATTAAAAAAAAACAACTTTTAAATATGTTTTATGAGACTCAAGAGTTTATCCAATCCTTCATCCCCAAACTCCTTTAATTAATACAACTTTTTAGTGTTTCATATGCTCACATTAACTCTTGTTACTGTAGCTTCCTACACTGAAACTGACAGTTGTAATGATGGCCTTTCTACTAGTAGATCCTGAAAGGAAAGGTCATTCTTCTTACAAAAATTTTAGAGAATGAACACTTAGAAAAAATTCCTCTGACAGAACAGTCAGCTACAAGTGGGCAAAATACAGATCATTCCAGCCCTTGGGACTTATTAGAACAAACAGTTCAAGTCAGTAGGTAATAACAAGGAATTTTTCTTAAAAGTTAGATCTACTGTTGGTGAGTGTTTAAATTGCTATAAAGTATTTGAACAGCAATTTTGGAATTTCTGTAAAAATTTTTGACCCAGCAATTTATCTTGCAGATTATATAGGTATTTTTGTTTTTGGATTATATAGGTTTTTAAAACACTGTATAACAAATTACCACAAATTTAGCTGTTTGAAACAACTTATTTATTTATTTATTTATTTTTATTATTTTTTAATTATTTAATTATTTATTTATTTATTTTTAAAGTTTACGTGTTTATTTTGAGAGAGCATGGGGGAGGGGCAGAGAGAGGGACAGAGAGAATCCCAAGCAGGCTCCACACAATCAGTGCAGGGCCCAAACCTTGAACCGTGAGATCATGACTGGAGCCAAAACCAACTTAATCAACTGAGCCACCCAGTTGCCCCAAGCTTATTTATTTTTAAATATTTATTTTGAGAGAGAGAGAGAGAGCACACATGCACATGTTTGCACACCACTCAAGTGGGGAAGGGACCGAGAGAGAGGGAGAGAAAATCCCAAGCTCTGTACTGTCAGCACAGAGCCTGATGCGAGGCTTCATGTGAGATCACGATCTGAGCCTAAACCAAGAGTTGGACACTTATCCAACCAAGCCACCCAGGCCCTCTTGAGAGAGAGAGATAATTCAAATATCAATAAGGGACTGCTTAAATAAGTGATAATATATTTTTAAGAATGGAATACTAGGCAGCTGTTGAAAGAGCAAGGTGGGTCTAGATGTACTCCTTTGTAAATTAAAAATATATAATATGGAGGGGTGCACACACACACACACACACACACACGGGGAATATATATAGAGAGAGAGTGAGCAGAGGAAATTGGTAGCAGTGATTATCTGTGGGGATTTGACTCAGCAGGACTTGTATTTTTGATTTGGTATTTTCCTGTGGTTGCTGCTGGATGGAGTTGTCCTTCATCACCACCGTGTACTACTACTATAAGAAATTTTTTACCTGGTAACTTCAAAATCACTTGGATGGGTCCCAAGCATATAAGAGGCTTTTTAAAGACCCCAGATAATTGTCCTCCATGCAGCTGGCTTAGCACACCTGTTCCAGAGGCTTGGAAAATTTCTGCTATTTGTCATTTGAGAACCACTTCACCAAATAGTTGAAAAATTGAAGCTATTTTGCATTATTTTTCTAGGCCAAATATGGGGATATTACTCCTTACACTTCTCTTTCTTTACCTGGGAAAATTAAATAATGCGTATCAAGCAGTTGACAAAGCCCCTGGAATGATTAGTGTTTAGCAATAGATATGTAATAAGAAAGCTGCCTCTGGATGCCTCTGTTCTGAATTAAGGTTCAGGTTTTTTTAGGCAACATTTTATCCAATTCTTTCTCTGTTTTATCAGAGTTCTTTTTTTTTTTTTTTTTTTTTTTNTGTAATAAGAAAGCTGCCTCTGGATGCCTCTGTTCTGAATTAAGGTTCAGGTTTTTTTAGGCAACATTTTATCCAATTCTTTCTCTGTTTTATCAGTTTTTTTTTTTTTTTTTTTTTTTTTTGACTAGTATAAATTGGTTCAGACTATTTTTAGAAGATGGAACAATAGGTTTGGGGAACATTTTAAGTGTTCTCATTTTTCACAGAATTTCTTATCTTAAGTTTTTATTTGCTTTTCACATGCTTTAAACTAGGTTTCTTTTCTTCTCTTGCCTACAGAGATACTCCTGTTTCATTCTAATGCTGCAGCTGAAACGTGAATAAATCTTGGAACAAGTACACAAATATAATTTCAAATTTTGTTCTTATAGGCAAGGAGCATGTGTGCTGCTTGTTTTCACTGATAAGCTGATCTCGTAAAGGGTCACCATGGCTTTTAGAATCAGTACCTTATAATTACTGCTAAGTGATGCTTAGTTCCAGATTGTGCAGCTGCAGTCCTGAGAATATTTCTAAGGGAGTTAGAGTATTTTCTAAGGGTGAAGTTGTTCTTTTCTTACATCAATTCTTTAAAAAAAATTTTTTTAATGTTTATTTATTTTTGAGAGAGAGAGAGACACACACACACACACACACACAGAGTGCGAGCAGGGAAGGGGCAGAGAGCGAGGGAGACACAGAATCTGAAGCAGGCTTCAGGCTCTGAGCTTTCAGCACAGAGCCCAACCTGAGGGCTTGAA